GTGGGACCCATGACCCCCTCAGCTACCGCTGACCCTACTTTGTATTCCCAGTCACTGGGAGTTGCTCTGAGGGCCTGTTCCACATGTTTTGGATTCCTGGTGGTTGTGGGAAATCTGTTTTTGCGGGTAGGTTTGGTTTTGGAAGGAGTCGGATCTCCTCTATCCTCTATTGTCAAGTCTTGTAAAAAAAGTTCTTGGGGGGAAATAATCATGTATGGCTTTTAAAATAGTGAGGCTGATCATTTTGAGTCACTGATTGATTCTGAAGGAACTTTATTCAGCCCATGTTCATGCAGCCCTACGTGGGTCAGACCCTGGGCTTGGTGCTGCAATACAAAGATGACAAGACCAGGCCCCTGCCCTCAAGGACCATCTAAAATGGTAGGAATGCCAACATACATTTCTTAAAGAGAAGCTCCCCAAAAGCTGTGAGCCATGTTAGCATGTTGACACGAGCCTGTCTCTCTCTGCATGCATGAGCTCTAGTTTGGGACCGTGAAGCACCCACCCGTCCTGCCTCCAGTACAGTTAGGTGGCTGCAGGGCCTCATCCATGGTCCTGGATTACACACGCCTTGCTGACGAGTGTGCTTCTTGCAGGTGTATGGGATGATTCGTTTCTCAGACACCACAGGCCAGATATCTGACCTGAACAAAATGATGGTCCAGGAGCTGAACACAGCGTTAGACCTTGGTAATCCTCAGCACTACACACAGGCCATGTTTAAGCTGACAGCGATGCTCATCAGCAGCAAAGGTAAGGGACAGGCCCCAGGAATCTCTGGGCTCATGTGTAAACGAGAGTTTGTCTTCAACATCCTTAGTGAGCTGGAGTTCTGACTGAAGAAAGGGCTGGAGCTCCCCCAGGAGAGACCTCTGTGGCCTCTCTGGTGGAAGTAAATAAAAAGCCACCATTGGCTCAGCTGGTGCCAACTCTCTTGCTGACCTGGAGAGGCCATGGGATCAGCCTGTATTCAAGGCCTCTGAACAGTGTGTGTCTGGTTCCAGATTGTGACCCACAGCTCCTCCATCATCTGTGTTGGGGTCCCCTCCGGATGTTCAACGAGCATGGCATGGAGTCTGCCCTGGCCTGCTGGGAGTGGCTGCTGGCTGGCAAGAATGGAGTGGAAGTGCCGGTAGGACACTGGTGGTGGCCTGCTCTTGAGGGCAGGGCAGGGAGAGATGGGGTGAGCTTGTCCTGGCTCCTTAGCTGGCCATCTTGGAGACTCCATGCATGCCCCTCACCTCCTGGGGCCTCAGCCTCCTTACGTGTACGATTGTTATATTAATGCCTGACCACGGGGCTATCATGGTGAGCC